CTGAATAGATGACCGGGACTAAATCTCGTGTGCCTTGGATGACGACGGTGACTTGATCTCGCGATAGTGACGAGATGGTAATGGAACCAGAGGGGTTCATGATAGCAGAACGATTAGAGGGAGAGGTATGAGTGGAATCGAGAGCAGACGGAGGGGAGATGAGAGCAGACGGAACTGCCTTATCGATGAGGTGGCTAGAGGATTTCCAGTAGGTGTCGACGGCCCCACCAAACTGTAGCGTGACCCCAGTAAAAGGCCGTATGATACAGGCCTCAAAAGTAGCTTGACCTATGATATGAAGCCGATGGTCGAGAATGGCTAAACTGATCGTGCGGCTATCTTTAATGTTCTCAAATGCTGAAGGCAGAACCGCAGCTCGACCGACGGTTTTCGAGCCAAATAAGGGGTAGAATGAGAATTCCAAGGCAAGTTCGGAGAGATCCTGAACTTGGAAAGAAATGACATCTCGCTCTTCCGATAACGGAATTGTTAAGTTGACCGGAACGGCCGCAGTTTCCGGTCTCGAGGTCATGATCATCTTCAAGAGGGACTTGGGTCGTGAGTTGGGTGGGATGGTGGAGAGATTAGATTCCCAAGCTGTTATCTTAACCGGAGAGTCCTGTTGGTCCAAATAGAAATGAGAATGCGGTCGACCTAATGTTAATTGAACTAAATATTGCTTGTCGAGATAGTTGTGGCCATAAATACGGAAGGGCATGATAGGTGGAGGGAGTGATAGAGAAGGGATGTTGTCAGCTTCCAGGTCTCCATCGAGCTGATGTTCCGGCACTTGCTTTGGGTCCGGCTCTGGGATGTGTGGACGTTGTTTGTGCTTGTGCTTTCTGCTGGACGAGAGCAATAGTTCGACACAGTCGATATGTCCGTACCAGCCGGCATAAAATATGGGTGTCCTACCCAGCTCGTCTGTAACCGTCGTATCACAACCGGCCTCAAGCAGAACCTTTACTGAGGGAGTCCGGCCCTTTTGGGCCGCGTGGAATAGTGGAGTCCATTCGTTATACTTGTCGGGGATATCCAGTGTCTCCCGTGCACGAGAAGTAAGCAATTGGCAGATCTCGGCATGTCCCGCTCCGGCTGCTAAATGTATTGGGTATTGACCATTTGAGTTTGGTACCTGATTAGCTCCTTGGTCCAGAAGGAGGAGAGCGATATCGTAGTGACCATGGAGGCAGGCCAAAGATAAGAGATCTATATCGCTCCCCTCAGGAGCGAGTCTCAATCCAGGGCCATTCGTCCTAAATAGGAGTCGGACGGAATCAAGCTGTCCAAAAACCACGGCATAGTAAAGACAGGAGAAATTATCCAGGTCTAGTATAGTAGGATCAGCGTTTGCCGCGAGAAGTCGATCAACAGATTCCGGGTGGCCTTCTATGACGGCATAATGGAGAGCAGTTCTCCCATAAGAATCCCTCTTGTTGACCTCGACGCCTTTCACGATGCACCGATCAATGAGTCTAGGCGCTCCAGCAGCAGCAGCTTCGTGGATACTTGTTCTTCCGTTGATATCATCGATGAACTTGAAATCACAGGGAGAATTTGGGGAGTCGAGGATGAGATCGGCCAACTCGGGTTCTGCCTCAACTGCACATTTCCACAGAATTCGGGAAACGTACGTGCGGCCGTCAGTGGCGTTGGTGAGTTCATTGGCTGTCACGAGCGCTTGTTGAACAGCTACTACGTCGTTATGAACGACAGCTCTTCTCAAAGAGTCTTCGAGATCGAGAAAGACCCTACTCTTCGTCAGAGGCTCACGCATCAGCTGCGCGTTGAGCACCGAGTCATGCTTCGAAAGTTCCTCTCGAAGAGTTGCACTAAGGGGTATTGTCGTGTCCGTGAGGTTCAGTAAGCATGCCGCCACGACGTCGGAGAACTCCGTTATGAGCTAGGGGGTGCGTCAGTTATGATCCGGCCAGCTGAATCTCAGGCGTACCTGGCGATTGAAAACCGGCTGAACCTCGACTTGTCGGGCCAGATATAGCTCCTTGGTCGTGGACTTTGATCGTTTATCCCACTTCTTTAGAATCTTCCTGAAACCGGTAGCATTAATATCCACGAATTGCTGCAACCCTGTCAGAATGTGAAACAATTCCAAAAAAGGCACCCAGAGACCTGTAGCTTAGAAAGGTCATTCTGAAGTAACGTAAAGCCTTCTTCAACGGCTTGCCACTCCACATGATCCTTTATCATCTCTCTTTCGTCCGAGTCGGGCAACGTTCTGCTCGCTGCAGCTTGTCGCTTGGACAACAATGCTATAATGCGAAGTTTAAGTTCTGCCTCCTTTTTGAGATAGAAAGCATTGATCTGGGTTGTGAAAAAAAGGGGTTAAGAGTGAAGGGCACGAAACCTCATGGGATACATACCTTGTCCAACTCTCGCTGGAGTTTGAAGAAGAACGCGGCCTTCTTCATCTGAAAATCCGGATCACGGTTTGCGTATTCAGCACTATTCACAGCGATGGTCATGGATAGAGGGGCTCCAGTAGGCTGCAGAGGTTCGGTGGACTCCCATAGTGGCTGCACAGAGGTCGTAGAGGGGACTCGAAAGCCATCGGATGGCTTTGGAACTGAGCTTGCTTTCTGCTCCTCCTTTGCCATTTCAAAGTCGGTTGCATAGTCCTTAAACGCTGCACTGGGATCTGGGCTAGCGTGGACGGAAGAAATTATCTTCTTGAGGGCCTTGTAATCGAGATAATATTCAAACCATCCTGGAACACGCTCCGAGAGGATCTTTTTGCCAAACTATTGAGCAGAGAAGATGGTTAGACGAGAGGTATAAGCGAATTTTTGATGTGCTCGCCTTCATGTTTGACTTGAGATCAAGTCCAAACTTTTGTCACGCACGTTTGTCACCTTGATCCCGTTTGTCGTGTTCGTCGCCTTCAGTGTAGCCTCAAACTCCGTCCAAGTTGTCTTGGGTGACGAGTAGGAGCCTCGTTGGTGGCAGCGTTTCACCGTTCTCGACGTCGACATGGCCGTGGCAGACAAGTCGCAAGTCCACCTCGCATAAATTCCTCAAATTCACCTCGATTTTTTGGAGCAAGAAGAGTTAATGTATATAACGCTAAGATAGAGGTAGTTTATTGTACAAAGTGACTGGCCAACTCCTATGTGCGAACAATGTCTTTCGTCATCACAGACCTCCCCCGTTCATAAGCTGTGGATCTATCCTTTCTGTGCCCAATGAGAATGAGGCGCTTTCTCGGTCTGGCTATGCACATGAGCAACAACGCGACTCCAGCGCAGCCGCATGCCAGGACAAAGACACCCTTGGGGTACCACGAGATGGTCATGCTGTAGACAACTCCAAAGATAATGGGACCAACAATGGTCTGTCCAAGACTCTGGAGAACGGCAAGGGCTCCAAACAGGACGCCTACATCCTGGTCTTGGTCCTCTTGCTCGCCTTGCGCGGCCCGGTACCGTACGTACCCAAGAACCGTCGAGCTATAGGAGGGTATAGAGGAGGATCCCAGCGAGGTAAGAGTCGTCGCCAACACGAATAAAGTCGGTGAATCGGTAGACAGTAAGATGACGGCGCCATGTGAAAGAAAATCGAGGAGGATGGACATTCGAACCAATGATAGATTAAAATTCAATTCTCGGCGCGAAGAAGCAGGGCCTCCGGATCGCGTTCGCGGTCGGAAAACATAAACCCACACTAGAAAATACGCAAAAATACACAAAGTAAGTAAGAGGAGTATGCGCATCGATCATGGTACGTACTCGGTACCAAGAGGAGCAGGGTAATCGCTCGGGCAAAGCCCATATAAGATATATAATAGCCAAGCTGTATTGAAATCAGCCACAAAGTCAATTTAGAATTAGAGGGTTGTACGAACGTGTTCGGCATCCCAAGAAAAGACTATCATAGAAATAATCAGTTTACAAATATATAATCGGTGGGCAATGATTGGACTAACCATGTTCCGCGTATAGATACTTGAGTTGATACAACGCGAGTGAAAGCAAATAAATGAAATACGAAACTGCTATGATCGTAAGTGTATAATCTTTATGCATGGCTCCCGCTCGACGTGGGCGAAGAGAAGCAAGAGGAGCGACCAATTGCCGCAGGTATGAGGCCTGGGCCGAGTTCGGGGTATGGTCTTCATTAGGTTGTGTGGCTTGAGTAAGTTGATTGGCTTGTGGTTTGTCTGTTGAATGGAGAGATTCTGGTACAATGAAGAGAATATATATGAACGCGATCAGATATGCGCCAGCTGACATGAAGAAAAGAGGGGTGATGTTTTTGTCTGGGGTCTGCCTCAGAACAAAGGAAGCGATAGATGGCCCAGTGGCGAAGCCGATGTACAAGATACCCATGAAGCGAGAAAATAGCCGAGCACTGATATCCAGTTTGAGTGAGAAGAGGGTCATCAGAGGGTGGGAGAACCACTTACGTTGATGCGCTTGGGGTGATATCAGATAGGTAGGCATTCAGGTTGGCTTGCAGCGTCGGCCAAGAGCCGAATAGACCCTCAAAGATAGGGGGCCAAGATGAGCAATTTATGACCGTGTTGCTTGAATGGCAAATGCCGAAGTGACGCTAGGGCGTATATCGATTCCCTGTTGATTGGTCAGACAAACCACAAGCAAATCAACGTACTCAAGCCACACAACCTAATGAAGACCATGCCCCGAGCCCGGCCCAGGCCTCATACCTTCGACAATTGGTCGCTCCTCTTGCTTCTCTTCGCCCACGTCGAGCGGGAGCCATGCATAAAGATTATACTCTCACGATCATAGCAGTTTCATATTTCATTTATTTGCTCTCACTCGC